CCATCTTGTTCTCCCTGCTTTATGTTTGTATCCAGCAGGGACTGCAAAACTTCCAGAAGGTGAGGATGAGGAATGTGGGCGTGTGGATGAGGAATGTGGGCCGGCAGGGATGGGGGGGGGGGGGCAGTGCGCAGGGTGTTGGCGGGGAGAGGAGAAGGCACAGGGCAGGGAGCAGAGCCGTCCCATGGAGAGAATAAGGCCCGCATAGAGAATGCGCGCAGAGGAAGGGAGTGAGAGCAGAAGGAACAGGAGGCCTGAATGGGAGCCTTGTGTGTGGCCCTGCGCTGCTGACTCACCAAAACTCAGGAGAGGGAAAACACGCTCGGGATGAAGAAGGGGCCTGTGTGCTGTGGTTACCACTCTAGACCACCCTGCCACCCTGCGGACACCCTGTCTGCTCGAGGCCCCCACGGTCCTGGAAGGCTTTGCTTTGGGCTGGGGGAGCGGGAGGGTGGGCCTGGCAGAGAAGGGAGCCCGGCTCGTCTTCTGAGCTCGCCACAGGCCCTTCCGGTGTCGTGAGCAGCAGCTCTCCCCTCCCTGGGCCTCACCTCAGCTGTCAAACCGGTTCAGGGACAGGAGGACAGGATTTCTGTGGCAACAGGTAGGGCAGGCGGCCGGAGGCCAGTGGGCAGAGGGTACAGCTTGGAACACAGGGCAGCCCAGGTGAAGAGATCATAGCCCAGACACCGTGGAGAAGCAGGTGAGAGGAAGGAGGGAGCGCGCAGCCGGGGCTGGGCTAGGAGCTCTCGCTCCCAGGTCAGCCTCGGGAGGAGCAGTCAGCACAGGCTGAGAGGGGGGCCCTGGCTCCACCGTGTGGCCTCTGCCATTAACTAGGCCTGGAAACCTGAGCAAGTCACCTGACCTTCCTGGGCCTCGTGCTCGCACTCTGTACGGTGACAGAGGTAGCTAGCACCAAAGGGTCTGTACACTTTCTGCCAGCTCTAATATTTGAAGACTTCATGCGTGTAGGCAAATCATCCCTCCTTTCTCTTCACCAAAACGCTCATTCCTTCAGTATGTTGTTACTACCGGAAGTCTCAAAAGCTGGCTAAGCAGTGGATTCCTACTTAGGTGGGTGACTGCCAATAGGCTAATATTCTGAACTCCCCAAATGTATTGTTTTTTTTTTAAGTTATATTTGTTTATTTGGAACGAGACAGAGACAGTGTGAGTGGGGGAGGAGCAGAGAGAGAGAGACGGAGACAGAGAATCCCAAGCAGGCTCCTCACCATCAGCGCAGAGCCTTGTTTGGGGCTCGAACTCCTCAATCTTGTCAGATCATGACCTGAGCCAAAACCAAGAGTCGGATGTTTAACTGACTGGACCACCCTGGTGCCCCTGTTATTACTGTTTTGACTGTCGTGTGGCCAGTGGAAGGAGAGGGGACTTGAAGGCCAAACAGGTGAAGGTTTGAATCCCACCGGTGCCCTTGAATCTCAGCGCTGCTCTGCTGCAGGGCTGGGGGCAATTTACTGGGCCTCAGTCAGCCTTAATTACCTTGTGCGCCAAGGAGTCACTGCTTCGTCTGGTAGTTGTGTTGATTAAATTAAGTAACATAGAAGATGCCCTGGCACCAAATAAAATACTCAGAAAATGTGCCTGCCCTCCCTTAGAGGACTTGATCATGACCTAAAGGAACAGAGGAGAGTCTGAAATGGAGGCTGGAAAGCTAGAGGCTGGGTAGGGGGCAGTTACATACCTTTGGGATGCACAGGAAGGGAAAAGGGAGAGAGGGGAGGAAGAAGGGAAGGAAGGCTCAGCTGCCATAGTCTCAATAAAGGGCTCAGCCAGACCTACAGGGGTTTTGAACTAGGGAACGACCCTTCAGAGTTCTCTAGATTTGGGATGGGGGTGCGGGGGCGGGGAGCAGGACTTTAAACTTCTTACCAGTCGGTGTTTGGGCAGGAGCTGCCCCTTGAAGGAGAGGTGACCCTGGTCAAGTTGATTGCTTTCAGTTCAGGCAATTCCTCTAAGGGGCCTATAGCCGAGGGCTCTTTTCTGTCAGCATTTCCTGCAGCTCAGGCTATAGATCCTTCATTTCTGGAGGGGACCTGAGTACCTACCACGTTGAGTTAGTCAGTTGTACTCGGCAAATTAAGTAGGGGACTGACTCCCCGGGGATAAGGGCGACCTTGTTGCAAGGCTTCTCGGTAGTTTCTCAGAGGCAGGCATTTCAGTGGCGCAGAGAGAGCCACACGACACTCCCCGTTCTCCGGTGTGATGGCAGCACGAACACTCACGCTATGGGGAGACGAGAAGCAGCTTTAATATCCTTCCACGGCCAGAAGCCACTTGCAGGTGTCCCAGAAGGATTCATTTGACTTTTTAAAAAAAATATTTTCAAATATTTATTTTTGAGAAAGAGAAAAAGAGAGAGCATGAGCTGTGGAGAGGCTGAGAGAGAGGGAGACACAGAATCTGAAGCAGGCTTCAGGCTCTGAGCTGTCAGCTGAAACCTCGAACCCGTGAGATCATGACCGGCGCTGAGGTCAGACGCTTAACTGACTGGGCCACCCAGGCGCCCGTCATTTGACTCTTTTCAAAGCTTGGCTTTCATTTCTCTCTTTTTGCTTTTGGAGATTTTGAGGGCAAGAGGGAACACTTATCAGTAACGCAGGATTTTTGCAAGGAGGTCCTTTCCTTATCTGCGTTTTCCCAGGACTTCCCTGCAAATCATTTGGGGATGTTCTGCAGAGTGCTGTGCCCTGGGAGCTCCTCCGGACTGGCCCCAAGCCCTGGCAGAAAGCACACCACATTGGTGACTGTGAGTCTCCCTGAAACAGGACTCAGTTCTTGGGGACTTCCGGTGCCTCTGTCTCTGCCCACATCCGAAGACTAAGACAAGCCGAGGGAGACACAATGCAAACACCGGGGGTACTGCAGAGCCCCAAGTAAATCAGTGCTCTGGAGAGAGGAGCAAAGACCTTTGCTCCTTTTCCTAGTTAACTTTTTATCCTCCCACAAAGAGCTCTTGCCGGCATTACCTTCAATAACCCTGTGTGGCATTTAAACCCCATTTAACGTTATTCAGTTGTCTCCGTTAACCTTTTATGTGCTAATATTTTGCTCTGCCCAAGTAGAGTATGAGTACCCTGAGGGCAGGGAGCCGGGTTAAACTTGTGTTTTCCAGAACAGCTACCTTTCTGGCTCATCTTAAATATTCAAGAATCATCGGTTGCTGAGGGGAATTAACAGGAAAGATGCTTTGTTTCCTTCAGCAGAGCTGACCGAGAGAGGTCTCCTGGCATTGGTTGGGTCTGAGAATCCACTCCTGGGGGTGGGGGGAGTTAGGGCCAGTGGGAGGAGCCATGTGGTGTCTTCAGGGTCCCGCCTGGTCCAGCCTTACAATCAGCCAAGGCACTCATCTTAGAGCCCCACCTTGGGTTCCTGAATCAGAGTTCCCAAGGCCCACGGCCTGGCTCTGGCCAACAAGCACCTCAGAGATACTCATTTGGGAAACACAAGTTGTGGAAAGTGGGAAGCACTGGGGGCTTAAATCCAATGGCCCTGAGACCACTCTCTGGGCCTCAACGACCTCATCTGCACATGGGGGTAACATGGTGCTTGGACCCAACTAAGTACTCTTGGCTCTGAGTATCACTGACATTCTGGCAAACAAGATTCAGGAGTTTAAGACATTAGCTCAGGTCAGAGGCAGAGAATAAGTTCCTGTGAAAGGACAGCAAAGGGCTATGAGGCACTGTTTCTCGTGATGCGAGCCTCAGACCACCTGCATTGACAGGTCCCCAGGCCCAATCCTCAGGAGCCCTTATGTTAGAAGGCTTCGCAGGTCACAGTAAGGTTAGGGAACCCCTACCCAGTCTCCTTTCTCCTTTGCTTTTACCAATGAATTGGCCATTGATATGCAAGCAGCAGATGGGTGCTCTCAAGTTTTCTCAACTGGTTTTACAGCAATTACATTAAAATTACTCCCCTGAAACAATGCTTATTGCCTAGTTCGGACTCAGGATTACGAGAACAGATTCCATTTTGAAGCCAGCATTTCACGACATTTGAAGTTCTGTTTCAAAGACCAAGCATCAGAAGAGCTGTTTATAAATTAGTTGACAAGGCAGCATTGCTGCTTCCGGGGAACATGGCGGAGCAAGAGGGTCCTAAGGCTCACTTCGTCCCACAGATATCCCTAGATAACACCCACGTCAGTATAAATAACCCAGAAAATGACCCAGACTGGCAGAACACTCCCCGCAGCTAAATGCAGAGAAGAGGCGAGAGGGTGGGAAGGGGAGAGACACGGTCTGGAGCCAAACAGAACTGCAGGACTGTCCCTGGGAGGGAGGGACACTGCAGGTGTAGTGAGGGGAGAGGAGCAAACCCCACCCCAGGCAAGAGGGACCCGCACTGGGAAGACAAGGCAGCACTGCCTACAGCGGAAGATGCACCCAGTGCTTGCTGAAATGATCATTAATTGGCTTAAATGCTGGAAACTTAACAGATGTAAACACCCATTCGGTTTGAACATCTTTTGCACATCAAAGGATTTTCAAGTGCTTTTGTCGGCCTACAGCTCTCACTTGCTAACAGTGCAGCACAACAGCACTGGACTAAGAGGAGTGATACAACAGTCCCTTGTAAAATGAGAGGGCAGGACAAGACCAGGCGTCCTTAGGCTACAATACGTGAATCACGGACGGCTTCAGGGTCTTTGGGTCCTGCGAAGCCATCAACCAAACCCTACATACTGGCATATCCATTAGTCTGGGGACGGAGTCTAGCCTTTCTCAGATTCCCTAAACGGCCTAGAAACCCCCAGGGTCCGAAACGTACAGACTGGACTATTGCCAAGGCTAAGGTTCTAAAGAAAACCAAGACGCCAGCTCCTTGGAGTCTAACCTGGATGGGTCACTGGCTTCACTCGGGTTTCTGGAAGCCACAGACGGAGTGCTCCCTCTACACCACCTGCTCCTTCCCCAACAAAACAGGCCCTGTTGTGCAACATCCTTGACTTTGTACAAACAAGACTAGATTTTCCCCAGACGGAATGATTTAACTTGTTTTAATGGAGTCTGCTATAAAAATGGATGAAGACTTCTGCATGGTACATTTGGCTTTACACACGATGATTTAGTTAGTGCTTGTGTTATGTGTCGCACATCCATTATAATCCGTTGACTAGTAACACAGCTTTCACAACATGGTTTAATACCGCAATTGTGAACCATGGAACTTTTACTTAGCACACACACAATCTACAGCGAACTTAAATACTAATCTAGAATACCTAACCGGATTATTGGATCCGTTGCAATATTGTGCTTATTTATCTTAGAAGATAGGCAACTAGCAAAAATACACGTTTCTTTTGCATTTCCCCACCCCCGTATTACACTGTAAAAGAAATACATTATTCAGTGCACTTCCTAAGAAATAAACCTCCTTATAGTATCTCTCTCTTTCTATATATATATCTATGCCAAAACAAAGGAAGAGCACAATGCAACTTTTAAGATTACCATTTCAAGCAAGAGAGGTAATAACACTCTGGGGCTAGAGCCCCCTCTTCTGTTCCCAAAGTTCAGCTATTTTATCATCAACACTTCATTTGGCTATGCGTGGGAATAAAATTTAACTCATGATCGCTTTGGGCGGTTTCTTCATCATTTGGTAGATGCCCCGGGCCGTGAGTAGTGTTTTAATTTTTGCTGTATTGGCCTTAATCAAACCGTAAGCCCTGGAGACACCGATTGTGATTTATACATTGATTTCCATCACCTGCCTGTCCCCCCATCAATTCATATTGGATTGCGAGGAAGGAGATTTAAATTATAGCAGGCTAGGGCTGCTGGCTAGACGTTGGCTGGGGAGAACGTATGTGAGGACATCAAGGCCTCTCTACCCCTGTGGCCACAGTCATATAAGCACCTTGTCTGAGCTGGGTTGCAAAGTCTGGTTCGGAAGACGAGGATCCTCATTATATTCTAGGGCCTCTGTCAGCTGAACTAGCCTACAAGTTGGAGAGCGGAGGAGTCTGTCCTCACAAACTCACAATGATGGAAATGATGGAAGTTTCCGGAACGAACGAGGTTGCAACTTGGCAGCTTCTGAGCTAAACCCAGCTGCACCAGTATTTAACCAGCAGTTTAAAATTGTTTTTGAAGCTGTTTTGATATTTAAAAATGAGAATGTTTCTACAAACATCTGGCCTTCCCGAAAACTCAATTGAGGAGCTGGTAACGTCCAGCTAGCACTATCGCATGGCAGTAAGCAGCTGGAGCTGCTCAGGGGTGGCCCTTTCCTTTCACAGGGGGCCCGGGCACTTCCATTTGCTACAGCTTCCCCTCTCCTAGCTGTCTTAGAGTGCTTGATTGAGTGACCTGCTTCACTCATTCATCTGGCCAGTTGAGTTTTGCGATGCTGGGGGGAATTTGGCTCTGGCTTTTCGGGACACTGAAGACCTGACTTCATCTGGAATTGCCCCATGTCCCCGTGGACCAGATTCCTCCTTTAACTGCTTTGGGTCCCAGCCCCATCTAGTTGCTGTGACAGGTAATCTTAACGTGCACATCTACTCGCCCTTTATGCTATATTGCAAACTCCAAAGATATAATCACACTAATATTTATGTGTTTAAGTGTGTGTATGTTAAACACGTAAAGGGGTGTGTATCTATACAGATATATATACTTCCATTTAGGGAAAAGTTAATTTGGTTCCACAGATACAGACACCAAGTGCTGGCATCTTGGAAAAGAAGTGTAACAATTTGGTAAAACCTGTATAATTCTGCCTTATAATATTACAAAGAGAGTGAATTTTAAGTTATTGCTTTTTGATTACAGAATAAGGATCTCATTCTGTTGCAAGACTTTTATACAGAACGAGTAGCCATTTCCTATTCAAGTAGTAGCAGTCAGAATCAGAAGTTCCTCACACAACAGTAGATGCCTGGAGACCTTTTTTGAAAGGAGATGGGATTTCATTCTAGTCAAGAATTGATGCAGGAGACTGGGAGTGACTTAATTTTTCACAAGTGCAAGGAAATCAGCACCCCAGCTGCTTACGGCTCGGGAGGGTTTCTCAAGGGCTCTGGAAGGCTCAGCATTGTGGACAGTCCACATCCACCTTCAGGACTCCCATCCTACTGATGCAGCCTTGTCTGGACACAGAGCTTATGTTAAAAACAGTAAAAAGAGGATTAAAAGCAGTGTTGGTTTTTAACATTCAGGATTCACGGAGGATCTCATTTTCTGCAATTAGATGGTCCATTTTTGTGTTTTCGCTGCAGAATCACATTCATGTGGCAGTCTTATTTCAGGCACTTTTTAAACACGTTCATCTGGAATAAAAATCGGCACGAACCACTTTCTGCATAATTCAAATTGAGTGTTGAGTGATTCTAGTCCCAAAATAGCAAAGCACCACCTGGTTCTCAATTAGCTTTCTCCGTCACAACAGGACGGCGACTCTGCTGAGCTGGAGACGTCTTTGAGGTGCCCTTCCAGCGTCAGTACGAAGGTGTGAGTCATACAAATCCAAACGACTTGGTTCCTACTTAAAAAAATATAAAAAGGTGAAACACACTAAATGTATTATACAGATGGTTTCAGCTACTATCAAAATAAATAACGTGATCTGACTCAATGGTTGGACTCTGAGCTCTTGGACGAAATCTGGCGGAATGTTGGATGGGGAGCCTACCACCAGGGACTAGCTGCTGGTGGGCAGAAGGATCTCGACGTCCTTGCCATTAGCCACGACGGTGTTCGAGGAGCAGCTGCTGGCTAGGTCTTCTGCGGTGGCCAAGGAGGAGGCCTGGGAAGGGGTTTTGGTCAATGGCGTGGTCGTGGACGGAGAAGGTGTCAGGCCAGGTTTTTTGGGTGGGATGGGTGGAGGGTGTCCTCTCTCAGCTCTGGGGATGGTGGGGGACTTGATCCCTGGAGACAGAGGGCTCAGCGGACTGGACACTTTCCCTGGAGTAGGGGAATGGCTGGTGTCCCCTCTGGAGGTGGCGGCGCTGGCCAGATTCCGGTAGTCTGTGCCAAAGGGAGAGCTGTTGGGGGAGACGGCCTTGATCGGCCCCTGCTGGCTAGTGAACCTGGAGAGCACCTGAGTGACTGTGTTGCGGGCCAGCTGCTTGGCGGCAGAGTTGTCCAGGAGTGTGGGGGACAGGTCCCTGGAGGGCGGGCTCTGCAGGCCGCTGGCCTGTTGGTCCTGATCTGCCTGGGTCTGAAATTTGTGCCGCGCGGCGTGGAAGCGCTGGTTGATCCCTACTTGGTAGGATGACTGGTAGCCAGGGCTGCTGGCCGAGGACCCCAACAGGCGCTTAGTTAGCACCGGGGAGGAGCAAGGAGAGGATGTGAGAGAGGAGGAGGCGGTGCTGCTGGGAGACAGTGAGCCCCCACTGGATGGCAGGAGACCAGGTGTCGGGACGGGAGTCTCCAGTCCCACAGGGCACCCGCCGTTCTCCACTGCTCTCTCTCGTGCAGGCACTTGGTGTTCCACGCTGCTGCCGGGAACTGCCTCCTTGGCGGTTGGAATCTCTGGCTCAAAATGGCCATTGGTTTTTGCATAAGAGTAAGAGGGAATGGTGGCGGCAGGCGGCCCAGCGCTCGGCACCTTGGCCGGGTTGCTCCCGGGGGTTCGTTCTGCCTGGAAACCTTCCGTTTGGCAAAATACAGACACCAGCACGGGGGGCTCCGTCGCTGTGCCCTTCGACACGGTTACCGGTTTCTTGGATTGCTCGGCAGGGCTACCATGCTGCTGAGAAGCCTCCAGATCCTTCATGGTCTTCTTCAGATTTTCCATCTCTTCTTTCAGAGTCCTGGTCCGGTTCTCCTCCCGGTTCAGCTTGGCCCGCAGCTGCTCCCTTTCGATGTCAAACTCGGACAGCTGCTTCTCCACCTGTGCCTCGGTCTGCAGGCCTCGCCTCCGCTCGGCGGCCAGCTCCTCCTCCAGCTGGCTCACGCGCCCCTTCTCCTTCTCCAGCTTCCGGCTCAGCTCGCCTGCCCTCTGGCCCTCCTCGGCCGCCTTGCTCGTGGCCTTCTTGCACTCGAGCACCAGCACGGACGAGAGCTGCTTGTGGCGGGAGCGCTCCTCCTCCAGCTGACTGGACAGCTTCTTCTGCTCCTTCTCGAACTTCTTCACTTGGGACTTCTCAAACTCCAGCTGGAAAAGAAGGCCACCACACACGGTGGTTAGAGTGAGAAAAGGGAGAAAACTCTTACCCAGGGCAGTTGCTGGCTAGCTCTCCTCTGCCACGGGGTCTGCCATGGATGCCACAGGCTTAGCTCTAGTATTTCTGAGGTTTTACCTCCCCCCACAGAAATGGACATGCTAGGGTTTACTCTCTCTCTGGTGGTCGAGGAGGCATTTCTGGTTCCTGAACTGTGATCTGTGGGAATATGTAGGTCTGTGGAGCGCTCAGAAGATTAGAAACCCACCGATACATGGGGTGCCTGGGTGGCTCAGGCGGGTAAGCGTCCGACTTTGGCTCAGGTCATGACCTCACGGTTTGTGAGCCTGAGCCCCACATGAGGCTCTGTGCTGACAGCTCAGAGCCTAGGGCCTGCTTTGGATTCCGTGTCTTCCTCTCTCTCTGCCACTCCCCCTCCCCAGGTCTCTGTCTCTGAAAAATGAATACACCTTAAAAAATTTAAACAAATAAACCAACAAACCCAGAATGACTTATTGATTTTAACTCCACTATAGTGAACACAGAGTGTTCTGTGCGTCTCAGGTGTGCAATACAGTGATTCAACACTTCTACATGCTAATCGGGGCCCATCACTTTGAAAACTTCGGTAATCATTCTTTCTGGTCTTAAAAAACAAATAGTTGCATTTAAACGCTCCTTGTTAGGCAAATGCAGTCTATTTTAATTATCATCCCAACCCTATTTAAGGCAGAGAAACTCTGAGCAAGAGGGAAAGCGCTGATGGAACCCTACTGGTGTTTTTGAAACGCTGAGACCCATCGGATGAGGAAACGAATCTCATGAGGTGGGAAGAAAATTAACAACAAAAAAAATGAATGGCTATTGTAACCAGTAAGGATGATATGGGATTTCATCAGATTTTTATTTCTGGCATGTGTTTATGTATATATATTTACTAGGCTGTAATATAAAGTGTATTTCTTACTAGGATTCCTAAGTCAAAATGCTTGAGAGTTTGAAGCTAGTGCTCCCAGAGTACATTCTATAGAATGACAGTCCCACAGCAAGTGATCTATGTCAAAACAAGATTCTATGTAAACATAGATTGGCTGAACTTGGGAATACCCAATCTTGTTCCTAAGACTCACAATGTGCTTTTCAGTCCTACAGGGCCCAACAAATTGAATCAGAAGCCTATTTAACTTTGTTTAATCCAGTGATTCCCAGATTTGACCACAAAGCCCTTTGTTTTTGAGCAACACTAATTTACCCCCTGCAGAACAATCTTCGAGAAATGCTGTTCCAGGCAAATGGTGCCGTGAGCCCCTCCACCTAACTACCTGCTGGGTCAGCCGCTCTCTCTCCTTCTCCAGCATGTAGGTGACATCATCTCCTTCTGCTGTGTCCTGAGCGTGCCTCTGCCTTTCTTCCTCGAGGTCTAGGATCACCTTTAAAGAATTGAAAAAATAATAATAATTTCTAAGTACCAGGGAAACAAACTTGTAATACAATTAAATACTAAGTGCCTATCTAAGCACCTAAGATAGTTCTAGAGATCAATCAGTCCATCCCAGTCAGGGCCATCAAGGATCACATTATCCAGCAGGGTAAAAGGGATGTGAGCTACGTGCTAGAAAACAGTAAGATCTAGGCTTTATTTCAGGATGCACAAAATGGTTTGTAAATAGAAGAGAGCACCTAATTAGCTATAGGGGTTGAGAAGGTTTCCAAGGATGAATATGTCCAGCAGGCAGTTGCTCAGACTAGGCGATGGGTGTAGGTGATGAAGCAAGACAGGACCATGGAAAGCTGAAAGCTGAAATCCTTCCCTCGAGCTCAAATAGCTGTGCCTTGCTTAGTCAGTAATTCGCATTTTGCATATAGTTAGCTAAAAGGAGGAAAGACTCTCCGAGCTCATCCTGCATGTAAAAAGGTTCAACACTTGGGACCTTATGTAGAGATTTTTCACAAGGCCTTTTAATTAACCTGCCCACCCCATTCCACTTGTCGTGGCACCAAAGGATTAAGCCCAATTTGAAGGCAAATACTGCACAAAGTAAAGGGACATTTCCCTACAAATCAACACCACACTGAGATACCACCTCACACTGGCCAGAGTGGCTAAAATTAACAACTCAGGAAATAACAGATGCTAGGGAGGATGTGGAGAAACAGGAACCCTCTTGCACTGTTGGCAGGAATGCAAACTGGTGCAGCTGCTCTGGAAAACAGTGTGGAGGTTCCTCAAAAAATTAAAAGTAGAACTCCCCTATGACCCAGCAATAGCATTACTAGGAATTTATCCAAAGGATACAGGATGCTGATGCATAGGGGCACATGTACCCCAACATGTATAGCAGCGCTTTCAACAATAGCCAAAACATGGAAAGAGCCTAAGTGCCCATCAACGGACAAATGGATCAAGAAGATGTGGTTAATCTATACAATGGAATACTACTCGGCAATGAGAAAGAAGGAAATCCTGCCATTTGCAATAACATGGATGGAACTGGAAGGTATTATGCTGAGTGAAATAAGTCAGGCAGAGAAAGACAGATATCATATACTTTCACTCATATGTGGATCTTGAGAAACTTAACAGAAGACCATGGGGGCACGGAAGGGGGAAAAATAGTTTCAAACAGAGAGGGAGGGAGGCAAATCACAAGAGACTCTTAAATACGGAGAACAAACTGAGGGTTGATGGGGGGAGGGGGGAAATGGGTGATGGGCACTGAAGAGGCCACTCCTTGGGATGAGCACTGGTGGTGGCTGTAAGTGATGAATCATGGGAGTCTACTCCTGAAGCCAAGAGCACACGGTATACATTGTATACATGGTATACACTGGCTAACGGTATGTTAGCCAACTTGACAATAAATCATGTTAAAAAAATAATAAAGTAAAAATAAAGTACAGAGAAAAAAATAATAAAGGGACATTTCCCACATAATCCCACCCATAACTGCAATATTCGGAAAGGCAAGGGACTTCCTAGCAGCTTCCGCTCCTCCTGCAGAGGTACCTTGGCCCAGAGCTCTAGGGCGGAGCACTGCCCTCCCCGTGACCATTTCTCATCCTATCTCTTCACTAACGATTCTCGTGAACCAAGGGAGAAAAGTTTCTGGCACACAAAGCTCCTCTTTAGACACAAAATGTTTTCATGTACCAAAATGAAAACAGCTTGGTATACTTTCATCCAGTTTAAAAAAAAAAAATAAACCCTAACTTGGGCAACTGGCTGGCTTAGTCAGTAGAGCACTGGACTCTTGATCTCGGGGTTGTAAGTTCGAGCCCCATGTTGGGTGTAGAGATTACTGAAAAAAAAAAAAAAAAAAACAACAGAATGAAACAAAAGCAAAAACAAGCTCTAACTTTTCAATTTAGTAGACAGACAAGCTTTTGGCTAAGGGTGGTAGATCATCTCCTCTCCCTCAGGAGAGCCCTCTAAAAACTACAGAAGTGGAATGAAAAGATGACCACCCGTGAAGGCAGAAAGACTGGAGCAGACAAGAAATGTTAAAAGAGGGAAGGAGGCAGGAGGTGTGGTGGCCACTTTGGGGTGGGGGAAGAAGCCGATTCTCCCTGCAGGGGCGAACCTGGAGGCAACAGGTGCTGCTGAGCAACGGTCAGATGTGGGATAGGAAACAAGAAGACTGGCTCACAATCTGTATTCGCCAGAAGTTACTTGCCTCTTCCACCTGATTTCTGTACAAAGAGTGTTAGGCATCTACTGCCTGGGCATTAGGCAGATGTTTATCCTCAGAGGAAACAAAATGTGACAGTCTCCGGATTTGGGAATACTAGAAATGACAGAGAATGAGGGTAGGGAAAGGGGACCGTTTGTTTTGGGAAGGTGGGAAGGTAGAAAGGGAGGTAGGGTGTAAGATAAATCTGCAGCTATAATGAGAGGGAGCAATTTAAGTGTCAAGAATTGATAAGGGCCTGGGGGCGCCTGGGTAGCTCAGTGGTTGAGCATCCAACTCTTGATTTAGACTCAGGTCATGATCTCACAGTTCATGAGTTCGAGCCCAGCACTGGGCTCTGTGCTGATGGCATGAAGCCTGCTTGGGATTCTGTCTCCCCTCTCTCTCTCTGCCCCTCTCCCACTCTCTCAAAAATAAATAAATAGACATTAAAAAAAAAAAAAGAACTGATAAGAGGGGGAATAGTATATCATTCAGACACATGGAATTCACCTACCAAAATAAATGGTCCAAAAGATAAAAGTGGTTGTCTCTGAATATTGAGAAGGAATGGGGAGAGGTGGACCAGGGAGCTCTCTGTTCATAATAAGCAGAGTAACCGTATAATTTACTGTTCAAACCACACCACTTCTGAGAGTCAAAGGGGGTATTCTTAATGACTGTCCCAAGGCGACAGACATCAACTGGACTGTCTTGGGCAAACAGGGACAATGAGCACCCTAATTATTAGCCCCTCGGAACTATCTGATTTGTAACAAAGTCAGTGTTTCACTTCAATAAAACACTTGGAAAAAGGTAGGCGGTCGATTCAAAATATTTAATGCTCACTTAAAGGAACATACACTGAAATATAGTATTAAAGAATTGTGAATTATTTTTAACTTCCTCCTCTCTCTAATCACCTCGAGTCACAAATCACCCCAACACTACACCTTTCATGGGCATGACGGCCGGCCAGCCATTCAGCACAGTTCAACTGCTTCATACCGGAAAGGGGACAAGGGCCTGCCTATCAGACAAGGATACTGTAGAGCCTTTCTTAGAGGATTGAGAAAGCCCTCCAAATTTAGGCAACTAACCCACACCCACTGATACATTTTAAATTGGGCATAAATGTTTTTAGTTCACTTTATTCTAGAGAAGGTTAAACTCTTCTGTGTCTTGGACAACTCTGAGAATTCAATTAAAGATACAGGGAAAAAATTTACATTCTACAAGAATGCATACACTTTTGGCATTGTGTATATTTTCTGGGGGATCATGGGACATCCAAGGCCCACCCATGGTTAAGAATCTCTGCTCTGGCCTTTCATTTGGACACTGTGAAGAGTAAGAGGAATCCTGGGCAAGACCTATACCTAAGCAATTTGTCAGGTGCCTTTGAAGCAGCTGGCTGTCTAATGCAGGCAACCATAAAAGTAAACTCAAGTTCATCAATTTGCAGCCGCTGACCCCATTCTTCAGGGTAAAATGCTTCCTACTAGATGTGTTGATGTCTCCCTTGCTGGTATAAATCTAAACCAATAGTTTTAGAAAACGTAGATTCTAGCCAAGCACCTTTTACAGGCCAGGTTTGAGCGGTAAATGACAGGTTGGGGAATAAAATCATAAGCATTAGAATTCCAATGAGATGAGGCAGAGGAAAGCACAGGTTTGTCTTCTAACTAGGAGCTGTAAGAACATGAACACACACACACACACACACACACACACTTTCCTAATAGGTTCGAACAGCTTTAAGGTAAACAATCCTAGGGACTGTTTATAATTTTATGAAAAGTAAAATGCAACGAAACTCAAAAGTAGGAACACGTGAAAATAATCCACCGGCTTCCATGTTTATAGTCAGGTAAATCCTCTGTCTCCTACGGCATTCCCCAAATACCTGCTAATCTTGTTTTTTTCACGTAAGTAAGCAAACAGAGAACGCTCTGTTCACCTACAGGCTTGGCCAAACCCCAGTCTGGATGGTCAAGAGCTGAAAAAAACATCGCCAGGGTTCTAGAGCGTCATACCAGGAAGGAATGCCATCTTAAGTAAGGGGTTGGCATACTCCCTAAACTGAATGTTTTGAATAACTTGTGTTTTCTTTCTGATCTCTTGGCTCCGGTGGTAGGCTGAGGGGCTTCTGACACCAGGGAGACCCACACTGAGTCTCCATGGAAACCAGGAGCTGACAAGCAAGTCCCAAGTGTTATTTATCAAGTCTCCCTAAGAGTTTGTGTGGCGCAGGGCAGCCATGTGAACATACTTTGCGGTGCCTGCTCTCGGCGGCGGCCAGCTGCGACAGCATGTGCTCCTGCATGGCCTTGCACTGTTTTATCACCACCTTCAGAACAGAGAGTGGGTTGGTGCAGACTGGCTGCTTCTCGCCATCGTTTTTCTCCTTCAGTGTTTCGAAGTCTCTCTGCAGAGCCATTAAAGGATCGCTGATGTTGTACTTTCCATAGCGTTCTTCAATGAAGGTATCTCTGTGTTGGGCCTGGGAAAGAGGAAAAAAATTCAGTATTTTGCTTTTTCGAACAATTGCGGAGGGAGATTTGCAAGTAGTTACACATTAAAGGGGGCGGTGGTAGTACGAATGGAACCTGCTGACCACAGACCTGACGACTGGTGCTTGAGCCATCTGAAAGGAGAAATGACATCAGAGAGGGGGCCTGGTATAATATTAACAAGGACAACTACTTATGTAGGGCTAACTATCAATTAGCTGTTGTTATAAACGTTCATATTCACATTATTTAAATTTTTTAATTTTTTATTAAAAAATTATTTAAATTTTATAAGCCTATAAGGTTGTGTTATCATTTTCAATTTGCAGATGAGAAAACTATTAAACAGTGGTCAAGAAACCTGTCCCAGGTTACTCACTTAGCAAGTAGGATTTAGGGGCGCCTGGGTGGCTCAGTTGGTTAAGGATCCGACTTCAGCTTGGGTCTGTGAGTTTGAGCCCTGTGTTGGGCTCTGTGCTGGCAGCTTAGACCCTGGAGCCTGCCTCGGATTCTGTGTCTCCCCCTCTCTGCTCCTCCCCCACTCATGTTCTGTCTCTCTCTGCCTTTCAAAAATAAATACATTAAAAAATTTTTTTTAAAGTAGGATTTAAACCCAGGCAGCCTGGCTTTAATGTCTATGTCCTTAGCCACCAACCTACTGCCTCTGCTTATGCATGCTTGTACTACCAGCAGGTATGGCTTATCTTTTGTGTCTGTGTTATGGTGTTTGCATTTCTAAAATATGGTAAGCATGATAAATAAATAAATCCTGTTCCTTTAAGGCACCATCTCAAGATAACCACATTCCTGACCTTACTACGCGTTTGTGTGCGTGCACATGTGTGCTTGTGTAAGCATGTGAATTAAAGGGGTAAAGATTTGAAAGACTGAGCGCAAGACAGAATCCTATTTTTACACCTCCCAATTACAAAGCGAATCCTCAGTTAAATTTTGAAATAGTCTGTGTACCATTTTAGGATGGAGAAAGACAAGACCAATTCCTGAATTGGCTATTTTTATTTTTTAAATCATGGCGAAAATAAAAGAGAAAAAGCTGGTTTTTAGTTACATTTTTAAAAGAAATCATATCAAACAACAGGGACACATCAATGTTTTCTTTTCACCAAGAACATCTGTTTAAGTTGAGGGGCTCTTGGGTGGCTTAGTTGGTTAAGTGTCTGACTGTGGCTCAGGTCACGATCTTGCAGTTCAGTGAGTGCAAGCCGCACATAGGGCTCTGTGCTATCTGCATGGGAGTCCACTTAGATTCTCCCTCTCTCTCTGCCCCTTCCTTGCTCGCTCTCTCTCTCTAAATAAACAAACATTAAAAAAACAAAAAAGAGAAGAACATCTGTTTAAGTTGAGTCTTATACCTCAAACTTGAGATTGACAACCTAGCTATTAATGTCCTAAGGCAAATCCAGGTTCAGAAAAATGTTTAGACAAAAGAAGAAAGAGAAAAAAAAAAATCAACCTTTAAAAAGCTGAAATTCCAGGGGCACCTGGGTGGCTCAGTAGGTTAAGTGACCGACTTTGGCTCAGGTCATGATCTCGCAGTTCGTGGGTTCGAGCCCCGCATCGGGCTCTGTGCTGACAGCCAGCTCAGAGCCTGGAGCCTGTTTCAGATTCTGTGTCTCCCTCTCTCTCTGACCCTCCTCTGCTAATGCTGTCTCTCTCTCAGAAATAAAAAAAAAAAAACATTTTTAAAAAAAGTTGAAATTCCACTTTTCTTACGGCCCATTGTTTTGTTGATGATTTCCATTTCTGTCTGGTTACTGATGGTAAAGTAATGATTATTGGTACTGAGACTGGTTTAGTAGGGCAGAAAGGCAAACGTAAACCTGAGTATTTCTAGGGCTTTCTCCTTTTCGGAACAGCGCAGAGAAGAAAGTGGGATGGGGGAGCAGGGCCGGCAGTAGGATTCGTGACCTTGACAGATTTGCTGAGAAGCTGTCTCTCAGGTTTGAGTATATAGTTAACTAATCCCTAAAAACACGACTTTAAAAAACCCACACTGTTATTATCTTGCATAATTAATAAGCATCCCTGAGTTACGAGTCCTAGACGAGAGCTTCTCTGAGAACAGCTGTTACGCTGTCTGTTTTCTCTCGAAGTACTTCCCAGTAATTCCATAATCGCTTGAGTGGTAATTACAAGTTATACAAAATTCGTGGCTTTGCACATAAATGAAAAGAATCCGTGGAATACTCTAAACAGGACTCCTTGTCACAAAACAATTCTTGTAAGTATGTTCTACTATGGGGCCCAGATATGGGAAGAGTGAATTCAAAGTTGGTATGTATTATACCAAACACTGGATTGGAAAATGGGAGACGGAATATGGTATTTTTCAGCCAACCGCACACCTCCATCAGGTAAACAGTATGGATGACAGGTTTAACAGAACAAATCATAACCAAAAATAGATGTTAGGAACTGAAGAATGAAACAGTTTTAGTGGAGGTGTGTATGTGTATCTATTTCTACCTAATAAACCACTCCCAAACTTGGCAGCTTAAATAGTAAACTTTTTTTTTTTTTTTAATCTCACAGTTTCTGAGGGTCAGGAGTTTGGAAGGGGTTGAGCTGGGTGGTTCTGACTCTGTGTCTCGTGAAAGTGTAGTCAAGCTGCTGGCCAGGGCTGCAGTCATCCAAAGGCACAACTGAGGCTGGTGCATCCACTTTCCAGCTTAGGCACATGGCCTTTGGCACAGGCTTTGGTTCTCTGCATGTGCTGGCTTCCCATAGAGCAAGTGACGTGACAGAGAGAGAGGGAGAGAGACAGAGACACCAAGATGGACATGCGAGTGCCTTTTATAACTTAATATCAGAAGTGACATACCATCACTTCTGATGTATTCCACGGGTCACACAGACTGGCCTGGTACACGTGGGAGGGGACTGCACAAAGGTGTGACTATCAGGATGTGGGGTCGTTGGTGGTCCTTTGGAGGCTGGCTACCCCAAGGGAACGACTAGATATGCCACCTCTATGGTTTACATCTCAAGTCAGAATTTAGAGACAAAGTATCTACTAAATACTAAAAACTGTCAAGGCTGGGTTTTAATACTTTCATGGCATTTCAGCTATTTTATAAGAAAATTGTCATGATGTGGATTTGAGTTTTTGGAGGAGGAATTCAGTCCTAGAGCTAAAATGAATCCATTTCTTGCAGTTTCATTATTTTCACTTCACTGACAACATGTATTTTAACTGAACAGAAATTTCTATGTTGTCAGAAAACATCATGGTCTTTCATTTCAGACAACAGGAAAATAATTGGCTGGTTAGACAGATTCAGTGATAAAAGGTATTACTACAGCAGACAAAACATACTAGTCATCTGTTACTCATTTTTCCTGTCATAGGCGGAATGAAACGCACCATTACTGAAAGTTTAAGATAAAAATCATATAAGGTCCTTGGAGTCTGCCCCTCTCACTCTCCAAAATTATCAGCTTTGCTATGATAAACTTCAAAAAGAAACATAAAGCAGTTACCTCATCTCCCCTCCCCAAGATTATTTATAGTATTACATATCTATCGTACATTATGTTATGTAATGTACATAATGAGTATAATAACATAACACATAAAATAGTACTCTAGTATAATAGTACACCATTATAGTAACATGTAAGTGTGTATGTGGATATTTCTCTATCTATACATTTTTTCCCCAATATTAAAATAGGAACCTCTTTATTCTTTGGATGATAATCACCAACATGAAAGATGCTTCCAAATCTAAAAGTGAAGATAAGGCCTACTTAACTAGGTTTACCTTCAAGTATGAGTTTTACTTACAAGACTCAGGCTGGTACCCTAAATGGATTAGGATACATCTTTGCAATTTATTGCCAATTCGAAGTGATATTTTTAGAAGTAATCAGTAATATAAACTTTGTATCTTTAAAAATCTCTGAATACCTCCATGCCAGAGACCAGAAAGACCAAAGAATGTGATTCCAGAATGGTTTTAATTAATGCTACACCAAAAGCATGTTGAAAGCTATCCTTTTCAGGGATGCCTGGATGACTTCTGTCGGTTAAGCCACCTCTTGATTTCACTCAGGTCATGGTCTCATGGTTCATGGGATCGAGCCCCATGTTAGACTCTGCACTCACAGTGTGGAGCCTACTTGGGATTCGCCATCCGCCCCCTGCTCATTTGCTCTCTCTCTCTCAAAAATAAGTATACAGATAAACAAATAAACATTAAAAACACATTTTAAAAAAGCTCTCCTTTTTACATACAAGTTGAATCTACTAATTTTCAAATAATTTATAGTCTGGAGCCCCTGATAGAGTAGCTGCATGAATAACTGGAAATAAAGAAACCATTCTAGATAGAGATGATAACAACATTACAAGAGCACCCTTTGTTTTAGAAGTTTCTTTTACTTGCTGAGAGAAAACTGGATTTCAATGTTTGACAGTATTACTAAAAGAAGAGTTAGCCACATTTGAATTAAACTTTAATTTTTAGAAAATGGCACAAAATTTAACATGAAAATTTTCATGACTTATTATTTTTTTTAATGTTTTATTTATTTCTAGGAGAGAGAGAGAGACAGCGCAAGCAGGAGAGGGTCAGAGAGAGAGGGAGATACAGACTCTGAAACAGGCTCCAGGCTCTGAGCTGGCAGTCAGCACAGAGCCCGACGCGGGGCTCAAACCCACGAACTGCGAGATCATGACCTAAGCGAAAGTCGGATGCTTAACAAACTAAGCCACCCAGGCGCCCCAAAAATTTTCATGACTTAAAAAAAAAATACTTCTAACATATTATTGAAAACCCATAATTATTTTTTTAAAAAATTTATGTTTATTTACTTTTGAGAGAGAGGGGTGGGGAGTGGGAGCAGGGGAGGGACAGAAAGAGAGGGAGAGGGACAGAGAGAGAGGGAGACAGAATCTGAAGCAGACTCTAGGGTCTGAGCTGTCAGCAGAGCTGGATGCGGGGCTTGAATCCACCAACTGAGAGAT